TTTTGTATGTTGTTATTATATTCTGGTTGCATTATGAAGTTCAGAACGTTCAAAATCACTTGATCGCGAATTTTTTCTGCCATCACTATGTTACTTATATTATTCCCCTGTAGCGGGGAATAAATAAGTTATTCTCCCGTTTTATTAATTGACGGCCGGAGGCTATTTCTCTATTGAGTTTGAGCTGTGCCAAAAATAATAGCGAAAACCCGTAATGAACATTTAGTAAAACGGGGAATAACCAAATAAATGTGAACATTAATATATTATTATTATTATTATTATATATTATTTAATTAATTATATATATATTATATATTAACGCGTAATGATTTAGGTTTAAATACTGAAACGCCATAAATTATCATATTATTTTTATTAGATTTTCGGTTAATTGATCAAAAAAGCGATTCGAGCCGGACTTTGTATGCGAAACATTTTTTTTATTCGGAATAACAATTAATTCAAATATTTATAAAAAGTTTTCATAATCTTTATTATGAACTTGATATTTTAGAATAGGAAAATGGGAGCTGTTATGGCGATGATATTCTTTTTGTTCTGGAAGTGGAGTGTTATATTGTTGATATTTCATTATAGAAATGAAACATATACTGTATAATAAATTGATCAAATATAGAAAATAATAATGGGCACTAATATTAATATATAAGATGTAGAAGTTTCCAAACTATTAATCACATGTGGTCATGTGAAGTTCCACGGATTTTCCATGCCGAAAATTTTATTCGTCACCAAAAATGAATCTATTAATAAGGACAAATGATTACCCAAAAATTGCGCCACTTTTATTCTTCTCTTTTAACTTTGCCTCGAAATGGATTCCCACGAAACTTCGAAAAAGGCTTTAGCTGAAAGTAACAGCCCTACTACTTCAGGCTCGAGTCCAACACCTGCTCAACCTTCTTCTCCAACTCCTTCTAATGCGTCTACAGGCAGTACCAAAAAAGATAAAGATGCTTCTACCGCTAGTACTCCAGCGAGCAGTAACGGATCAACTAGTGGAAAATCATCAAAAAATGTACCTAGTTCTACGCCTGCAATAAACATTTTTTCAAATGATGGAAGTTTTCTGGATCGTTTTAAAAAAATGAAAGCTGAGGAAGATGAAAAAAAGAAACAGCTTGGGGCTTTGGAAAGGTGAGAACTTGAGATTTTGTCGAGAATAATTACGCCTCACAAATTTTGAAATGTAAATTGAAGAGTCTAGGAGACAAAACCGACGATTTGTTTTTTGAGTGACTGATATTACCTTTGTTACCGAATGGTGTAGGCGTTGAAAATTTTCTTTGATAAAAGATTGTGGATTTCTCGTGAATTATCAGCTCAACAACATATAAATCGTCACATGAAATCTTTTTTATTTTTTAATTATTATTAATTTTTTGATTGAATTGATCAACCTTGCGGGACATTAATAGATAAAAAGTTTTTTTTTCTAATTTATTGTTTCATTTTTGAAAAAAACGAAAAGTTCTTTACTTACACACATTTTACAATCAAATACAACTTATATTTTAAATTCGGATAATATATATCTAATTTAAAAACTCAACCATATTGGGTTAATTATTGGTTCATTCTTTTTTGGAATGTTTTTATTGAAATATATTGAAATTTTAGAAAAAAAGCTTTTGAAGATCGTATTGTGAGTATTTTTATTTATTTTTTCTAATTATTCTAATTTAAAGCTATTTTTTTTATTTGTTTATTTTTTTTTCCTTAAAAAAAAAAATAATAATTCATTTAATTCATTAGAAAAACCGAGGAAAACGCAAGAATCAACCTACGGACGAAGAACCGGATCCAAAGCGCGTCACATTAGAAGATAATGAACGTGGTGAAACATTAGATCCAAAAGCAAACGCATATCTAAAGGAAATGCAAAAGTATAGTGAACGTTTATGTAAAGATGATTCTGGTCATGTACGTCCGCTAGTTAAATAATTAAATTATATATATGCATAAATTAGATGTAAAATTGAAAATAATGACTTAAAGGAATTAATAGTAACGAAACTTTTTATTTGTGCTAATATAAATTTTTACGGTTGTTTTTGGTGGGATTTAACGATTCTTTTTAAGCAATTATATATTTGTTACCATCATGTTAATAGTTAAAAAAACCATTAACACCCATCAAATCAATCAATTTATTACGTATATATTATTATCTTTAATTCATAATTACATTTGTACAATCTATTATTGATGACTAATCCACGAAATTATTGTAAATTAAATCTATTATAAATTTAAATTACTTCTCTTCAGGTTGAGCTACAAGATAGTAAGGTAAAGCGGCCTGCATTTTTCCTGCATTTTCACATGCAATCAACCATTCAGGCTTAACAATGGGTATACTATTATCTAAGGCTTTTTGATAATTTGCTCCTCCCTTCTCATTACATAACAAATGTGTGGTATCATTACCAACATGATCACTATATCTAGCTCCAATTCTCTTTAAAACCTCCTTCAATTCTTGTTTATTTGGTGTTGCATCATCCGAAAAATAACCGAAACAGACATTAATACCTGTAAGGTTTTCTAAATCATGTGTTCTAATTTTGATCTTGTTTGAGGTAAAAGAACCAGCGGTAGTTTTAATGGTAATATGAAATTCATATTCTGTATCCAATTGTAAACCGCTTAATTTAACAGAATTGTTGATACCGAGAGAAGTCTGTTGATTAACTCGGGTACCATTACGGAAAATTTCTAAAGATTTGAATGTTGCTGTATGAAGTACTAAATGATCCCATTCGAGAATAACTGATGTTTGAGTGATGTGTTTAATGTGAAGTTTAGGAGGTTCAGGAGTTTTACGACCAAATTCTTCTAAAATTGCTTCTTGAAGTTCCCAAAATTCACTACGCTGACTAGCTTCTTGATCATAATTCCGATTTACACTAATGTTTACTATACTGCCGGAGGTTACTCCAGGTGGAAGTAAAAGTGAAGGAAATTCAATTAGGTGATGGTCCTCGGTTAATAAAATTGCCTTGAAAAATTATTTTTTTTTTTAGTATTATCGTTCGAAATGTAAAAATTAAAGTTTTTAAAAAGTTTACCATCCCGGCATCGAGTTTTCCAACCGTAAACTGAACTGACGTTGAAGTAGCCATTATTAATTAATATTATTAAGTATGATTAAAAATATAATTTTTTTTTTTTTTTTTTGTGACCGAATTTATGTGGTTTTTTATGTATCACGAACAAAATTTCTTGTGTTACCATAATTGGATAAAGACAACGCATCAACATTTAACATTCAAAAATTTAAAAGCACATTTTTCTCGCAATAATGGTATGTATTAATGAACAATTAACGGAGATCGTACCTTGAGCTACACATATTATAACCTAACTTTGAACACTTTGGAGCTCATTGGTACACTAGAAAGAATAAAAATTATGCTTTTTACACGCGTTGGATTCCGCACAAATAAAGCGCGGCTATTCAAATGTTAGAAAGATTTATCGTGTTCCACCTGAAATATTTAACGATATTTCACATTTAACACGTTTATTCAACCTTTTTTTATAGTTGTTCTACTCATTTTTTAAAACTCTAATTGGACAACAAGTAACCGTGGAATTGAAAAATGATCTTGCTATAACTGGCATTCTTACTTCTGTTGACCAATTTCTAAATATCAAACTCGATGAAATCCGAGCTGTAGATGAGGCAAAATACCCTCATATGGTATTTTATAATATTTTCTCTTTCTTGCATTTTTATATTTCTATAAGTCATTACATAATTTTGTCAAACAAGTTTATATGAATTAAATATCTTAGGTTTGACCTTTTTTTTATTTTGAGCAAGAATGTTAGTTGATCAATTTTTGATTTCAATATTACATCTTTTTGATTTTTTGATGGACTAAAAATCATAGATGGCCGTCAAAAATTGTTTTATTCGTGGATCCGTTGTCCGATACGTCCAATTACCTGCTAGTGCTGTGGATACTGCTTTGTTACAAGATGCAGCGAGGAGGGAAGCACAACAGCCGACCACAGGAGGTGCTCATTAAGTAGGGATGGTAAAAAAAAACGGTTTAACCAGTTTTTTAAACATTTTTTATTGTTTTAAAAACTTTTTAAAACATCGAAGTCTGAGATAAAATTTAGCTGAAACTGAAAATATTGCTTCTGAATAATTAATTTTAATTTTCAGCCGAGAAATTTTTTTTTAAAAAAGGTGGTGCTATATAATTTCGAATTTATTAGATATTACGTAAAAAAAATAAAAAAAAAATTATATATTTGATCGCTTTAATTTTGAACAAAGTTATCAATTGCTATTATTTTTAAATGCGAAATTTGCAATACAACCTTCATTCTATGTTAGTTTTACATTTGTTAGTATCGAAAGTCAATATTGCCACTATGTAAACCCATTGAATAAGTTTTGGAATGAATTATCTGAAGAAACAGAGTCCTGTATTTGACTTTTTAATAAACCTAATATATTTTTCTTGGAATTTTTTACATTTTAATGAATGACCTTTTAATTGGCCAACTAATTCTGTAAAGTCTTCTTCACAATAATTACATTTTTGGCGAGGTATTGTTCGATCATGTTTATCAGATTCAGCAACTTTTGATTTTTAACGAACATGAGACGTTGTTTTGAAGAATTGATTTTTTTTTGAATTTTAGTAATCATAATAATATATATTTAAATTACGCAATCGGATTATAATTAGCGATGGAATTCCTAATTATTAATTGTTAACATGAAATTTTTAACTTAATAAATCATTTTAACAATTTAATTGTTAAAATGATTTATAATTAGAAATTCCCATCGCTAATTATAATCATGTTATAATGCATTAAAACATTATTTAACAGATTTAAATCAAAAAAACATGATTTTTTAAGATCATTTTTTAAAACGTTTGCCATCCCTATCATTAAGGCTGCGATCCAACTTTTGAATTATGACATTATTACATATTTTGGTTTAAGAATTAGTCTATTTCATTTGGGATTTTCGGTCAATAATGGCAATCAATCGAATTTATTATATTAATGCTATAAATTATTCAAACTTCATCTTCAATTTAAAGATAATTAAGATCCCAAAAGCGATTTAGTGATTAGACAAGATATGTTGAATTAAAGGAATATACATAATAAATGAGAAATAATTACGTATAAAATTGAGAGCTTTCATGTCTAAAACAAATTTCGATCCACAAAAGATAAACTTTTCGACCAATTTTTCGAGTATAAATAATAATTTTAAAAAAGTAAAAAACCCTCGGCAAAAAAAGCCGATGTCTTGTTTGTTATACGATCTTAATTGTTAATTGATACAATAAACTAGAATTGATTTAGATTATTTTTAATGGTGGAAACTTTTTATAATTTATGTTTCTTTTTTGTTTATTCTTCGTAGTTTTAAAAGTTAAACTGTATAAATAATGTAATGTTCCGACTCCGTGTAGGAATTACCAGGTTACACGTGGGCAGGGACCCGCGATCACAATTACCTTATTGTCGCGAAATAACGGGCATGGGCGTTATTTGGTCCGAATTAAGCTTAATTTGGGCCGAAATTTGTAATTTCACCCCTGCGCGTTATTTCGCGACAATACGACAATACGGTAATCTAAACCAATTTCTACACTTAACTATCAAAAAGCAAGTGATGTTCTTACGTTCTATTATCAACGATTGTAAAGACGAAATCAAGATACAGGAAACCGCGAGACTTTTAGCAAATAAGGAAAGTATAACATGCACTTCTTATGGTAGTCAATGATGTGGACTGATGCCCATACTAAGAGTAATCAACTGCTTGCTGGTTTTCGATGTATGAGTAACAGTTGAGTTCATGCTAGGAGAAATCAACTGTTTGCTGGTCCTCCGAATGCCTGCTTGGAGGCATGAACTTATTACCACAATGTCTAAACATGCGTGGGATTCCATTGTCATGCTAGGAGAAAACAACTGTTTGCTGTTCCTCTGAATGCCTGTTAGGAGGCATGCCAATGCCTATGTCTGTTTGGATGCTTGACAATGTCTACGTCTGCTCAGAATTAGTGTTAAAATTATTGTATTATATCATTTCTCACTCCATCTTTTTCACAAAGAGCAAACGTACCTATGGAAACAAGATTGACGAATTATGGGTTCCCATAGAAAATCAGAGATCGGCACAAGAGAAATTAAATTAAGAACAAGTAAGTTCATGAATTTGATTACTATATATATCTCTCAAAAATAAGTATCACTAATTATAATTTTAAATTACTTTCTCACTAAGTATGATAATGTTTCAAAATACTCCTGCGCTTTGACTAATGCTGCAGTAACAAACTTAGGCAATATTAATATTATACAACCCACGCTACCAAGTAAGTGGTTTTTTGAAAGTCTTGAATCAGAAACAACGAATCTGACACAGAGCACGGAACAAATATCAAGCAGAACTTTTAACTCACAGCCGGAGAGAATGAGGACACCACCACCTATATTTCCAAACATAAATACATCTCTTTATACCCCGAATAAGCATCAGATGTATGATGAGGTGTTATTTGGTTAGTACCTTATGAGTGCCGTCAAAGAAAGCCTAACTTGAGCCTATAAATTTTGAATTTAAAAAGCAGAAGTCTAGTTTTTACTGGATATTTATAACATAATTTAGAGCATGTTATTTTAATTTTGATTACTTTTTATGTTAGATATCTTGATGCAATGGGACAATCTTTAAAATACAATCGAATTCACTATCTATGTGGGCTAAGGTAGAGAACTACCATGAGAATGCTTTGAAGGTTAGTTTTCACATATGATAATTGGTAGAATATCATATATATTTTATATTTTTTTGTTTGTTTTACAGAAATCAGGAAACGATTTTAAGAAAGCTATTATGCTAAAGATTGAAGACAATGATGCAAACAGTTTTTGCTTATATTGTGAAAAAATATTGATTGATTTGTGAGTCTTTAATGTTTATTGTGAATTTAAATAAGTAGATACTTATTTCTGACTTCTTGGTGCTAGTTATAATTTAGTAAATGTTTTTCTTACACTTTCCAGAAAAATTGGAGAAAGAAAATATATCATTCAGAATCTTCAATATTCAAATTTTACGAAACAACTTTTGAAAATATTACCTTTGATTGAATCGATCACACTCCTTGTCTATAGTTGGTAGTAAAATTAATTTTACAAATTATATTAGAAAGTATATTTTTATGTAGATTTATATAAAACTTTATAGATTTATATATATAGTTATTTATATAAATCTATATAGATTTCTATATAAATTTATATAAAATTGCAAAAATTTTTAACTTGAATATTAAAGTTAGGATTAGGTTTTAAAGTTTAAATTAAGGTTTTCGAACATGCTGAATATTTTTACTTAGTATATCGAACACTAATTACCTTAGTTACTTTTGAGAAATAGCTAAAGTAAATTAAACTAGAAAAACGGATACTATTAATGTCCGAAGCCAAGAATAAACATTGGGCTGATCCATGTCAATCTCTATAGCTGATTGGCTAACATGTATGCATGTGACTAGAATCTAACACAAAATCATATCCCATTGCTATACTATAGAGTTCTCACTATGCTTTGAACAATTATTTTATATAGATATAAATAAAGTTTACATAAAATTTATATTTATATAAATACAGTAATAAATAAACTATACATAAATATTATATCAAATTATATCTAAAAATTTTAACTACATAAGTCTATATTGAATTTGTAAATTTATATAAAATTTTATTTTATTTTTATTTTTTAATACTAATAGTGAGACTTTGCTCTTATCTTTATTAAATTTAATGAAAATTTTTAACAAAAACCAGAAAAATCTTAATGTTTAAACCTAATGCTAAAATAAATCTTTCAGCATAGTGGCAAATAAATACTAAATAAATTTGTATTTGCTCACACTTATAAAAGTTATTAAAATTGGTTTAGACCACAGATAAAAAACTAGGTATCTATTAGACACTTTTAGTTAGTCTGAGTTCTTATTCTTAGCATTAGATTTATACAATAAAATTTTTTTCAATTTTGTAAAAAATTTTGATTAAATTTAATAAAGATAAGAGCAAGGTCTCAACATTAACATTAAAAAAAAATAAAAGTTATTAAAAAATTTCTGGAAGGAGGTCCATTGTGGAGTAGTTGTACTACATATAATGGGAGTTGTTATAGAAGGTTCTATTACACAAAGGTTGTATATATAAATTTGCAATTGGCAAGATAGCACCAACAACCTCTAAGGTAGTATTGGGGATCTTGTTTGGAAGGATAACTGGGTGGTAACTAGAATTGGAAGTGGTGAGAAATGTAGTAAACACAAAAGAACCTGTAATAAAGAATTGGACTTACCAGATTTGAAACACCTCTGGCAATATGAAACTCACTGGCCAATAAGAAGTTGAAGTATGGAGGCATATACATGTTGATATATCTAACGGGCTTTAGTCGTACCTATATGGGCATTAAGAGAACTTGGAAATACTAATAAGGTATAGCTAGTATAAGTGCATGCAGTGGTAATCGGAGATTACAACTGCCAAGAATCACCATAAAAAGAAATAATGATACATCTGTTACCTCTGAGCATCATGATATTACCCAACTATATTAACTACTAGAAGCATTCTAAAAACATATCTGGGAACTTGTTACTATATTGGAAAATATAGTTATTAGCACAATTACTAAAATGGATATATTAAGACCTGGGTCCCAAAGTTGCAAGAAATCTGCTAGTTATAGCAACATGCAGGCTTGAGATACTTACCCAATTGAGTAGAGGCAGCTGCATGGCTTGAGATACAAACTCCTGGAAATATGCCAGTAGAGACTAAGAGGGTAATTCTCTGTCAAGCACACCAAACCAGAAGCAACAAGTGTTTACCTGGAGCAATATACACCAATTTGAAAGTTGAAAGAGTAGATAATATGGATAATGTGGCAAACATATAAATACTAATTGGTAGTTGGGGAGAAATATACAAATTCAGATTAGCTATATAATGGGAATATGGTTGGCTCTGGTGGGTTTTAGCTATGGATAAATAGTTTTTATATCTGATGTCCTAGTTTTAGTATTTAATATAATATGTATATATATAAGTACTATCATATGTCAATCATTTAAGTATTAATAAAGTTTAAGTGTGGGTACTACACCTTTATAATTAAAAAAAAATAAAAATAAAAGTTATTAAAAATATTTACAATATTTTTAATAGTTTTTAATGATTTGGCTTTTTGTTTGTTTTTATAAAACCTCTAAATAAATTCAATATAATTGTAAATATAAAATGCAATTTTGAACCAAGTATTCCAATATATTATGACAAGTAATAGCACAAATTTCAAAGAAGGGTTTGATTGTTAATTTAACTCATGCTGAACTAAATAATTTATATATCAAAACTGATAAGTCTTTGAATATACAAATCTTTTTTTAATATATGAGATTAAAAGTTTAACTCCAACAAAATAATAGATTGATATCTATAATTTGCTACAAGAATTATATAAAATTATATTATTTTTTTTTTAAAAAAATTTGACAACCATGTTACATGCCTGCTTTATTGATGAGGTACTATATTTCCCGAAGAAATTGTCTGAATTACATCATACTTTATGGCAAAAAATCTGGAATGTGGCTCACCTGGTCTCCAATTGAACCTATATGCGACCTGCCAAAGATTAGTTCAATCTCTCTGGTTAGATTTGGCTTACTTCACTTCAACTGACCCATCCCCGGATTACTGACCTAGTTCACTAGCCCATCATAACCACCTTCTTTCTCAACCTTCTTCTTCTAGTCTCCTAGGTAAAAGAACTACCAATGAAAAACAAAAGAAAAAAATAAATACGAAATAAAAGGAAAACTAAAAAAGGAGGAAAGTTTAAACTAAATGAAACTAAAAAAACAAACAAAATAAAAAGGAAACAAAAAAAAAAAGGCTGAAAAAAAGACGGCTATGACAACACTATTATTGCCTGTATTAGGCTATAAAAATTATATAATGTTATATAGAAAAAATCCAATCTAACACTATATATACTAAAAGAAGTGGAAAGAAAAAAAAAGTCTAATATTAAGAAATTTCTATACATGATTTCTCCAATCCCCTATACTGTAAACAGTACTGCTGTCATTGTTTATTTGGCAAAGCAGAATCTAAATAAACTTGTAGAAGGTTCTATTTCAGTAAACATGTTCTAATTTGAAAGGAGTAAATACTGCCAATCTTTTGAAGAGGTATGCTAATTTTCTCAATTTTTGGCCGAAATTTTTAAAAAAATTCCAAAACTGCAAGAATATGTTTGTAGGTATATAGTTGCAAGTACTTCTAAAATTTCTAAAGAGTGTGTTGGACCACTAGAACTTTGTTGTTCCTCTGTGTTCTTTTTTGAAGTAATAGCCAACTTGCTTTGTTGATAAAAATAAGCAAGTTCACCACTGCACTTCAAGATTTTTTATACAAAAGTACCACCTGCTAGTTATCTTGTATGATAACACTCCTAGCTTGCATGCTGAACGTCTACTTTAGAGAAGTCCTTTAGAAAAGCAATTAACCTCTAGACAAACCGCAAGAAGGCCATATCTCTCTAACAAAAGTTCTATTTTCTGTTTGTTAAATTTTAGGTATGAGTGATTGTTAGAAAGAGTTGTATAATTATTAATAAAATTATATTATTAAAGTTATAAAATTTTTAATATAAATTTTTAAAATAGTAAGCATAGGTATTATTTCAAATTTTGGCCTAAATTCAGGCCAAAATTCGAAATAGTGTCCATGTCTACTATTTTGAGAATTATAGTATATAAATATTAATCTTATTATAAAAGAATTTACCTGTTAAATTTATAATATAGGTGGAATATATATTGTGCTTCAACTGAGACATTATAGGATATAAAGCATTTTTTATATATAAAAAGCTAGATCTGAAACAAATAAATACTTTTAGATAAGTAAAAGAAATATTCTATTCTATTAAAAAGTACAAAAGAGCCCATCTATTATTGTATTGTAAAAAGTTAACTAACACTAGTTTTGTCACCCCATAATTAGAGAATAATATATTAACTACACTATGCTTTTTAGCATCTGTTATTTCATTAATAATAATTGTTACTTGTTTTTTATTAAACATATGTCTTAGGCTTTTTAAATATTTTTCAAAAATCTTTGATAAATATAAATAGTATAAAGTATTGGCTATGAGTATAGTATTATCTTCATTATAGTATATACTTAGAAACTTTCAAAATTTGTTGAGTTTTTCTAGCAGTATATTTACTTTGACCCATACTTTAACAAGCTTACAAATAATTTTTTTTTTTTGTCAACTACTATCAACAATAATAAAAAATATTGTTGTCAAGTAGAATTCAAAGATTTCAGATAGGTGTTATGCTTTTTTAAATAGGTTTTACTATTTATATATAAGGTAATACAGTTATCCTCCCATACAATTATACAGTTGGGCACATAGTAGCTTTTTTTAAAAATATGCTTATAAAGAGGTTGTGTTTATATAGAGGTTTTTTTCTTATAAATTAAATTATAGTTTGGTCTAAATAAAAATGTGATTACATATGATATGATTATATGGGAGGTGACTATATGGAGGGATGACTGTAAAGGATTTGTTATTATAATTGACACTATATAGTAATTGCAAAAATGTTATAAAAGTTTCTTGAAATCAGAAATAAATTATTCTGAAAACTCTTGCATATAACTATAAACAGTTACTTTCTTGGTGAGCTAATTATTATTATTATTATTATTATTATTGATTTGTTTATTTAAAAAAACATTACTATATATTAGTTTTTTTTTTTAATACAAGTAAACTTAATAATTTTTGTTATAACTGATATTGAAATTTGTTTTATTATATCAGTTATAATATAAAATTGAAAAAAT